CAATGTAATTCCATTAATCTTTTAAAAACACTTTCTTAATTTGGATATTTCTGGTTTAACGGGAAGGTGGGTGGGTAGAAGATGGGAAAGCAGGAGTGGGTCCTTCATCCACAGTTTGTGTCTCCCCAGATCAGAGCTCAGCACCAGTTTATTTATTTGGGTATTTTTACCCCGTCCAATTACATTGTGGTTCTCTGAATGGCTTACAAGTCAACATCCAATATATAAACCCAAATAATACAAAATAATTCAGGACTGAGCATAAAACATAGTTAAAACATTAGACATTAAAATTACAGAAAAATAAAAATTTCTTGCCACATAGCGCACAAGGTGCCTTTGCTGAAAGCCATACATCTGGGGACCAATCTACCATGGGGGTGGAGGTGCCCCTGGGTACCCCCTGGTGCCCGCTCCCCATCCAGATTGAACACACCAATCTCCATCTGTTTTCTACTTCCAGAAAAAAAATGGCCAGTTCATACTTCTTTGAAAAAATGAAGTCTAACATAATAAGTAGCTGGCTCCTCAAATACAAAGTCAGGGTCATATTTTCAAGGCTCTGCTATCCTGGCCTGATCAACAGCCATGTTTTGATGAAACAAACACTTGATTAAGTTTGCAAGCTTGGAGAGATTACCACTTCACTAGAGCAGAGAAGAAGTTCAGATTTCATTGGGAAGCTTTCCAAGTGGTGTGAGATAGGAGAATATGAACTGCCATGCAGAGTTTACGAATCAATGCCATCATGGGCAAACTGTAGATAAACCTGTGACTGTTATCTGAAAGTGCACGTGACCTCCAATATGATGTGTACTGCACTTTGTCCATCAAAGGGGAAACAGGCAAGGTTTCTGTGCTACCTTCACTTTGAATATGAAAAGTAGGTGGTCTGGGATAAGAGGAAGGAGTGGGTGAATAGAAAACAGGTTGGGTACCCACCTGTATCCCCCCACTCGTGAATGTTTGGTTCTAAAAGCTGCCATTAATTTTCCCACAATGCTCCTGAGTGATGCAATGTCAAGGGCACCGTGGGGAGCTTGAACCTGGAGCCTCTGCTATGTAGATCATTTGCTCCAGCGATGCATGATCCGCCTTTCCTTTAAAGCCATTTTTTTCAACCTTGGGCCCCCAGCTGGGGTTGATATTGTCTCTAGACATTGACCACATTGTCGAGTTGCGATTTGACAACATGTGGGGGACACCGTTTTGTTCAAGGCTGCGGTTCAATCCAAGATGGGCAACCGAGGACGCTAGGGGGCCATTGTAAGGCTGAACAAAATGCTTGCTCCAACTCTCCCATCTGAATAGAAGCAGCTCCATTTTCTGACTCCTTGTTCCTGTAGCGTCCCTACTTTCTGGGATATTCCTTCCAGTTAGTGTGAATTGCTGCAGTTGCTCTTCTTCTTGGTTCGCCTCTGCCCAGAGAGTCTGTTTGAGATAAATCCCAGAGGGAAAGCAAAATGCTGTTTGGAGGTACAGAACTGCACACACACATGAAGTCTAGGGCATCATGGGATTTGCACGTCACCAGTTCACACATTCAGGCCTGAGTACCACTGTACATTTTGCATTGTTGATACCAAGATATCACCAAGCAATGATCATGTATGAGAAACATGCATGACTAATCATAGATCTGTAATCAGACAAGAGAACAAAGTGGCTCCTTTGCTTTCAGAGCCACAGGTGACAGATGACTACAGCATAAACTTATTCAACGTGTGGGACAGGGACACAGCAGTGCATGTGCAGCAAGATCTTCGCACAAGCGGGACTAGCTGAACATGCCGCCCAGCTTTGTGCTCATAAACCCACCAAAATAATTTACATTCCCGGGATCCAGCCTGCTTTTGCTCTCTCTTTCTCCCCTCCTTGGCCTCCCTTTCCTCTCCCACAATCCTCTCTGGTGGGAGACCCTTGTCACCCCACTTCAGCATTCCGTATCTTCATGTCCTCCCACAATCCTCCCTGTTGGGCCTCCTTTTGCACTTCTGCCATCCTTCTGGTCTAATCCCTGATGCACCATTTTCCTGAGAGGTTTCTCTGTGTCCTGGTATGAAGAGGGCAGATAGCTGCAGATCAGTACTGTCTTGGGGAGTTTCCCAAGGGGGAGGACCAAAACTGTGGGCCACGGGCCAGATGCTGAAGGAAGACTGTGGTGTGCTCAGATCCTTTCTGAGGTTAAAAGAAGAAATGAGCCAGTGCAAAGTTGCAAATCAGGGCTCTATGGAAGCACTGGCTATAACAGCTCAGGGAGAAAGAGATGGCCATTCCATTCCATGGAGCAAGTGGGATCCATCTTTTCCTATAATCCTCCCTATACCAAAAGCCAAACACCTGACAAAACCTCCCACGCTCATCATACAGTGATTCACCTCTCCTTTAGTTCCAGTAGTCTGAGCTTCTCAGGGGATTTTTTCCCCTCTAATAAGTGTTGATGATCAAATAACGAGTGATCTTCCCATTTAATTACAAGCAGCACATGGTAGTGCTGGTGCTAGGTGCCAGGAATCTGGTCCACAGGCCTATAAATAAATAATAAAAGTACATATCCCAATTTAATTTACACATGCTCTAAAGTCTCTGCCTGTATCTTTAAAGACCCTATCTTTCTTTTAAGGATACCCCTATTTGTAAAAAGGAATGTATGGACAGAATGGGGCAGGGGGAATTTATTTCAGGGGAAAAAATGAGGCAGAAAGATTCAAGGGAGCCAGCAGGAGGTGAAGCCCACGGGGGCAAAAAGCTAGCTAAACCAGAGGGGTCAGATACAACAGAAAACGTGAGGGCCCCTGAGCCTATACTTCCACAAGTGCCCAGGGTGGTGAGCAGATGACCTCCTGGAGATTTGGGACTGGCATCATTTAGCTGGCATTCTGGTGCAGCTACCTGGGCCCCAGGTGATGCTCTCTCCGTCATTTTTTCTGGCCTGGCTAATTTCCACTCCCGCCCCTGTGGTGTGATTCTGGGGCATGCAGGAAATTTAAATGGTGAGCAGACACCACTGTCTGCATTGCTCCGAGCACTGCTACCACTGGGTAGGGATGATGGGAGCTGTGATCCACAGCAATCTGGAGGGCACCAGAGCAGGGAAAGCTGATTGAGCCTTTGAGACAGTCATTCATGGTGGTTGCTGATTTTTAAAACCTCTGGTTGTTTTCTGCTTTATTGTTGCATTATAACTTTTGATTTTCTAAACCAGCCTTCCCCAGTCTTGTGCCTTCCAGACACGTTTGGACTGCAACACCTTTAAATTCACCTTTAAAGGTGGCTTAAATAAATAAATGAACAAACGAATTTTAGGTTTGTTTGATAGATATCTTGTTCAAACCCAGAGCTCCGAACAGCTTAAAGCAATTTAAAACGAATTAACAGTTTTGCCTCCAAGAGACTCCCCATTTATTATGGTTAGGATTTATTGATGAATTATGCTGGTTTTTATTAATAATCAATTTATTTATGAATCACTTATATTAAAGAAATTCCTAATTGATGTAGAAAGGACAGGATTACCTTCATAGGAATGCTAGATGGAAAAGGTTTGTAGGAAGTGAAAATCCTGGAAGGTTGGCCCCTGCCTAATCTGTAGTGAAAAGAAGGTGTAAACAGGGGGCGCTATGGCACTAAAGGCTGGGTTCCGAGTCGGATGGCCAGAAAATCCAAAATCTTGGGTTATACCAGAAGCATTTGTCCCCATATCCCAGCAACCAAGCAGACCAGCAGGGAATCCGGGGATCTCTTCAGAAAGTTAATGAGCGCAAATGATTTGGTAGATAAAAAGGCCACATCAAATGCTTAAAAATGGCACTGTATAGATTCAAACGGGGGATAGAAACATACAAACTTTCATCTAGAAATAAAACCCCGTAAATTCAGCGAGACTACTTCTCAATACACACGTGTAGGATTGCTTGGTTAGATTTTGACCCATTGAAATCAATGGGGCAGGTTAATCATGTCAAAAAGAGATCCTGCCATTGGATTTCAGTGGAACCAAATCACAAAGCTGCTCTGGTCTGTATGGCGGGCGGGGGAGAACCAGAGACAAGGGCTGGTATTTCCAGAAATATTCAACAAGCCTTTGGATTTTGAGGAAAGCCTTACTAACATCATTATCAACAACAACAACTTTGGTCTGTCTAGATTTAACTCCCCCAACCAAGTATTCTTCAAATGTCTTGGGCTACAAGAAGAACAATGCATTATCCGCCCCCCCCCCCCCATGCGTGGTGTCAGTACGAAACTGTATCTAACATAAGGGGGATTTCTGATCGTCTTCCTAACGATAGAGGAGTTAATGTGTGTGCCACACACAAATGTGTGCGTGCGTGCGTGTGTATGTATGATAGTTGTACTCTAGCTTTTTCTTGCAAGGAACCCAAGTTTGCTTATATAAGCCTCCTCTCCATGTTTTGTCCTCACAGCAACCTTATGAGGTAGGTTAAGCTGAGAGTGGCCCAAAGTTACGCAGGGAACTTCATGGCCAAGTGGGGACCAGAACCCAACTTTTCAAGGTCCCCGATCCAGTACAACAAACCCCCTCTCTCTACACACACACACACACACAGAGAGAGAGAGAGAGAGAGTGCGCGTGCGTGCGTGCGTGCTGGGATGTAATAGAGCATATCTAACTCCCACAACTCACAAAACTAAAAAAGGAGCGTAGGCGCGAGCACATTGACGAATGATATCATGGACAACATCAGTTTCCGCCGGGCCGTGTCACGCGGGGATGTCTCAATGGCCTCCCCGGTCCTCACCCTCGGGTACGCACTCGCCGCCGTCGCCACACCTTTGTTCCCCGTCCAGGGGCCGGGCTGCAGCCGCCGGCGACGAACGCGCATGAATGGAGCGGGCGGGGCCGAAGCGGTCCAAGGCGATGACGATAACCTGGCATTGCCGTGGCAACCTTTGTTGCCGGCGGAGCAGGCGTTCTATTGGCTGACGCGGCGGTGACGACATGCTTCTAGCTACAAGAAGGCCGGTAAAGCCTTTAGCCTCCCGCGGGAAGCGCGATTCGCTCGAGAATAGACCGACCGACCGACCGGAGAAAAAAGGGAGAAGGGACCTCGCCGGTGTTCCTCGTGAGGAGTCGTGATGGCGTGCCAGGGAGAAAAGAGGTCAGGAGCGTGTGGTGGGGTTTTGGGGTGAGGCTGCCGGTTCGCGCCAGCCTACGCCGGGAAATCCTTGCCGGCACGTGGCTCCTGGGTGAATTGTAGCAAAAATTTAGGGACTCCCGGGAGACGGGGGAAAGGACCCCCCCCCCCGCACACCCCTTTTCTGCATTTCTTCCTCGGCAGAGTGTCCCGATGGCGCACCTGATGATGAAGCGGACTGTAGTCTGCGATACTTTATTCTGTAAACTGCGTGCTAAGCCTTGAGTGTGCCCCAGAACTTATTATTTAAAAAGCGAGCCATTAATTACACGGAGGTTTCATATCGCGCTTTTTCTGAGGCAGGCAGAATGATGGGGCTTGAGGCTGTGAAAAAGAGGCTTGCCTCATCTTGATTCTGTTTTATATCTGATATTTTATTTTTAAGTTTATATTCTGCTGTTTCACTCTTACTTGTAAAAAAGTCAAAGTGGCAAACATGATCCTTTTTCTCAACCTTTTATCTTCACAACAACCCTGTGAGGTAGGTTAGGCTGACAGTCAGTGTGAGCAAGTAGAAACTGAAACCATGTCTCCTGAGTCCCAGCCCAGGGTCCTAACCACTACACCACATTCATTTTTACCTTAGGCTGGGGTTGCTTTGCAACTCCCTCCACTTCTGGGGCCTCTCCAGGCTTTTCCTATTCCCCTTAACTATGGCAGTTCCCACAAATGTGATACCTGAACACTCACAAGCCAGATCTGTGCTCTGGAACCAAAGATTCTGGGTGAGAAGGATACGAAGAGAGATGTTAGAGCAGGTCTAAGAGTGGCGCGTTCTTCAAAGAGGTGTGAGGACAGGCAACCAGAACGGATGAACTGCAGCGTTATGATGGGAACATGCGGTGGTTTTCACAACTTCCTCCTCCTCCTCCTCCTCCTCCTCCTGTGAAGTGTTCAGAACTCTAATCACGTAGCGTTTTGTTTGGATGGGTCTAATTGTTCAGCAAACAGCTCAGGTTAGCTGTATCTGGCTCCCACCCTCCACATTTTTATGCTCACAACAGTCCTGTGAGATTGGATAAACATCTGAGAGAGAGGGAGAGAAACTGGCCCAAGGTCAAGCAATAAGTTGTGTGGCCAAGTCTGTTCTCCAATAAACCAGGATTTGTAAGCCAAGAACAAACTTTCATGTGTGATCCTGGCTTATAATAGGGCCAGCAAGCCAGGATTCAGTGTTCAGGCAGCATACTTAGTGTGCCACCTGGTTTACTGCAATGCCCTATGATTGCCGTCAGCCGTTGCCAATGTAGCCAGCAGCACGGAACCATGAATTTTGCAGATGAAAACGTCTGGAAGGCCGCGATTGCCCGGCCCTGTTTTAGCAGCTTGTGCTTGCAGGAGGAGCCCAGTGGAAATGCAGCCTATAATTGTGCTAAAAGAAAGACCTTGTAAAGTAAGGAAGCTTGCAACACTTTGAAAACAACCTGTATGATTCGTAAGAAATACGTGTTCTTTGGGAGGAAACTTGATTCAATAAGGGTGATTATTCTCCTGTGAAGAGCTAGGTGAGGGTTCGGGATTTATCCTCTGATGGCGCAAGAGCCTCATTTTCTTCTCTAACAGCCCCTGGTAAAGAATGAGGGAATCTAGTTCCTCTGGTTCAGAACCCTGGACTTCTTTCTATAGTAGTGTTCAGATAACACACAAATAGGTGAAGTTTATTCTTTGCAATGGTGGGGTGGAGGTTTCGATATTCATTTGTCTATGCTAAAAGCAATATTTTTCTACCCAGTTGATCATGATGAATGAATCAGAATCCAGTTTTCTTTTTGTGGTACTTTGGACTCTGCTTGGCTGGATGAATGCTGGAGTTTGCTGATCTAAAGGATTCGAAAACAGGGGACTGGGGCTTCCCGGAAGTTGCTGGTGTTGATCCAAACTTAGGTCAGGTGTTTGTGTGTCCTTTTTTCATAAAGGGCAGGTGTGGCCCAGAGGCGTCAGCTTCAGTCTGAGCTCAGAAAGTTCTGGAGTTCAGGTACCAACAGTGACATCCAGTAGGTGACCTTGGGCTCGTTGTGTGTCAGTAGGCCCTGCATGTATTAAAAAGGTTCTTGGAGCAATAGGTAAGCAGTGCTGGAGGAAGGTGTCTGTTTCACACAGTGAAGGAACTGGAATTGTTCCTTCTGACCTTGGGAGAAGGAATGTGGGGACCTCTCTGGATTGATCAGAGGAATGGGGCTGTAACAGACCATACATCTCTAGAACAGGGAAGCAGGCTTTCTGCTTTCCCTTCTCAAAGTAGTGTGCAGAATAAAGCGAAGAACGAGCTTCTCAATGCTTTGGATATCATTTGGAAACAATTTTCTGTGTGTGTTTGTGGAGGCCTGGAAGAGGATTCTTTTAGTTCACCATTATTGGTATTCTTCATGTTGATAACTTAAAAACCAACATCATTTCTGATGTATTTGGGAAGAACCAGACCGGGCAACACTATTTTATTAACTGGCCTTCCTGCCAAAAATGATGAAAAGATCAAAAGCAAACTTTAATTAAAGGCAATGTAAAAGCAAATCAGGGGAAAAAGCGTCAATGAAAGGGATGGGATCCATCCGGTTAAAACATTCTCAGCAGCAGAACAGCTAAGAATTATCTACATTGTCCAAAGAAAATACGATTCAAGGAAAAACTGGAGAAGGCAAATGGGTTATCAAGTTTTTCCTAAAGGCCTGTTTGGAAGGATTGTGTTGTTCCTACCTGCTTCTGAAGATGGGCAAGTGAGCAAGACCTCTGTTACTGACTGGAGTTAACTAAGAACTGTGGGGACCTCTTATTTTAATTGCAGTCAACGCTGTTTAAAAAATGTGGGATCATTGCATCGATGTAAAATTTCTGTTTAGCATTTGGGCTATGGATTTCAACTATTCAAAAGAAGATGATGAAAAATTCTGTGTGAACAAAAAGGGAATTCTGTACCCTGTGTGCATTTATGCAAAGGGAGGCAAATATATGCTGCTTTCTTGGCATTTATACTGCTTCCAGTAAACACAAAATAAGAGAATTTCCGAATTTTGTTACTTAAAACTAATATCCTGCACTTGGCACATTGCAGTATAAAACTCTGGTGCCTGTCCAACCTTGGCATTTATCTTCCTTGTTCCTTATAATGTCAAGCACACTGTTGATTTAAGAGCCGTCACTTACAAGCCAACTCCCTGAGAACTATTCAAGGTCAATCACAACAACTTTATGGGATAGTTTCTAGCTGTGTCCATTTTACGCAAGGGGGAACTGAGACTGAGAGTTAAAGGCTGGCTCCGTTGCATCAAGCACTGCATTGCATTTCCCTTTTCATCAGCTTGCAACACTGCTTCTTCCACAGTGCATCGTTGCCAAATCAGTTACGTCTTGAGTTCTCAGTTGCGCAGGAATCCTAAGGTCCTAAGTCTGTCCCCAGCCGAGATGTCTCCTAGCTGTAGTCTTGGTCAGGTTGGACCCCCAGTGAGTCCTGCATTGAGCAGGGGGTTGGACCTGATGACCCTCTGGCCCCTTCCAACTATAATTCTATGATTCCAATAGTGCGGAGCAGCCCAGTAGATACAGGAGACTGATGTGTGGATGATGGGTATCCCCTTCGGATTGTCCCCTGCACTCAGCCTTCAGAGGCATGCTTCCCGAAACACTGTTAATTAGCCTTTAGGAGTGGGACACTGCAACAGAATGTTGCAGCGTATCTTCATGCAACAATAAGGTTCTAGCCGTATATGCCATTTGGGGCTGGTTCTAGCCATATATTTGAGGCTGCCTGGTCCTCATCGGGCTGTTTGGGCTTGTGTGTGCTTTGTTGTGTGTGCTGTCTTTTAGAAAGCACCATGTTTCTGCCTTTTGGGAGTTCAGGTAGAGCATTCTGGTCTTCCTCTTTTCTCTCCTGGCCTCCTTGTGACCCCAGTTCTGGCATCTGAATCCCCGATTTTGCCGTTAGAGGGAGCAGCCCTGTATTGTTTGTGGACAGGCCCAAACTGGCCTGCATTCATCCAACATTTTGCTGGATCAGGCCAAAGGTCCTTTATGCTCAGTGTCATGACTTCAGTGGGCGCTCTCTGGTTGCTTCTGGAAGCCACAGACAGAACAGCCCCGGGGCAATGTCTGCTCGTCTGCGGTTTGTCCGAGAGTCAGGCGGGATGCTGACACAGGCACCCGGCGGGCCCGGTTCAGTCCAGTTAGGAACCGTGTGTTGTGTTCCCGTCCTTTCCTGTTCAGCTTGGAAGAGGAGCGTGACATAAAAGTGGCATTGCAATGACGGTGGTTGGCCAACATCCTGTTGCAAAAAAAAAAAAAAAAAAAACGATGCCCCGGACCGCAAAGGGTAAAGAATCCGGACCGTGCACATACTCGCTGCGTGGCTCAGTTCCGTTCCTGCTCGCTTCTCCTTTGGCACAGCTCGTTTCTCCGCAGCGGCTAATTTTCCGCTCGGCCCCGCCCCCTCCGCCTGGTGCCCGTTGCATCGCAGCCCTGCCCACAGGGGGGTGGCCAATGAGGGCATGCCCTGGCTCACACACCCCTCCACAGAGCGGCCAATCAGAAGCCGGAGATGCTGGTGCAGCCCCCCCCCCCCTTTACCTTCCTCCCAAGCCGTGCAGGTGAAGCCTCTGGGGGCAACTGGGCTCGGGTCTCTGAGCTGGTGCGTTTTTTTCCTCGGAGTTCCCCCCATGCCCTCGATCCGAATCCAGCACCTCCTGTTTCCAGTGTCCTCCCGGATACCTTTTAATGACCTTCCCAGGCACGGGTCCCAACTGACCTCACTTACCGGGGCAAACCCTACTTTCTATTACCAGTGCTTGGTAAATCATTGCCTTTCTTTTGCCTTGTTGGCCATGGGGAGGGCAAGTCTTTTTGTGGGTGGGGGGGGGGGTGCCAAGATGCAGTTACTGTGCTACTCACTGTCTCTCCAGACATCTATATTAAGTTTTGCATATTTAGTTTACCTTTCCTCCAGGATGGTTAGGGAGGCATTATTTATCATTAAT